AAGTAGTCTATTCCAAATAAAACAATTTTTTGCACTTTTCAGGTTTTTTGTTTCATTTCATATTTAGTAGCATCAGAAGTTTAGTGTCTGTTAATATTATTATTATTATTACTATATTTTGTGAATTTGTGTGTTTTGTGTATTTGCTCGTATTTGAGTTAATTTAAATATTTAGCTAGAGTCTCAATCTCTTTCGTTCCATTTCTTAGTTAAAATATTAAGGTAAATAAAAGTAACAGATATAACGGTAATTTGTGCATTCGTGCGTAAAGCAAAATTCATACATGAAAAATTTTATTTAGATACAAGTTGTATTAAAGAATAAAGTGTATTACTCCAAGACCTTACAGAAAAGCAAGACACATTAACTAATATTTAACTCTTCAAAACTAATAAAAATAAAGGTCTGAAGACATATTCAACATTTTTCGCGGTTCCTAATGCAAACATCCACAAAGCAGTTTTCCAATGTTCCAGCTTTACCAATGTTACAAAATAAATATTTGCTTTTCAGAAACACCTATAGACAGGAATTTTAATGAGGACCTGCCACCCGTACGTTGTCCCTCCTGCCCGCTTGGAAGTCGCACAGCTAGCTGCACGTCCGGCGCTGAAACGGCATCCTTGTCCGAGTTTCCCACACGCGGGGGCACAGAGGAGTGAAATGACAGAAAACGCTCAAATCACATTACTTCCAGTCTCCAAGAAACCAAACGATGTATACACAATGTTAATTAAAATGTTTTACTATCATTCTTTTTTGCACTGTATTTCTTTCATTGTTCCCTAAGATCTTAGTTTTTACAAATAATTTATTAACACTAATATTTAATGAACAACAAATATATGCAGTCAACAATTTCATTAACATCTCTACCTTGAAGATATAAATTATCATTCTTCAACAAAAAAATAGTTTTGGAGATAGCAGGCCTGAAGCTTCAACAAGAAAGTAAAAATTTAAACATAATTCCATATGAAAAAAGTGAGTTGATTCATATATGCACTTCGCGCAAGTGATATTCACGTGCGTACGTACGTAATATAACTTTTTAGACGTCCTAAGCTGAATATATATATTGAAGGTTGTGTATGATCTATAACTGTTTATTTACCTTTTTTGTTTTCTAAACGAGCACTAACAATTGAAAGCAAACCTGAAGGTTTGCTGATGCATGTCATTACTTCTCATTCCACTAATTGCGAACTACAAAGCCTTGTATGAGAAAGATGGCATTGAACGAGTACACGCTCCTTGGGGCACTTTGGCCTGGCAATAAGAGTTTTTCTGCCGAAAATTCGCCACTTTTTTCCGTAGCATTACATAAGTTTCTATTGAGTAATCGGTAGCGAGAAAGTAAAACAAAGGTTTTATTCGCTACTTTAATAAAAAAAATCGTCTTATCTACATATATTCAGAGCAAATGAATCAAGTGACTTTAGCAAACTTGAGAGAAAAATATACGTTAATTGTTTTGGGAACATTTAATTTCTCTTGTTTTTTTTATTGGAACAACTCTCTTTTAAGCTATAAAGAGCTTCTCACAGATACTTTTAAACGTAATATGTCCAAAATGACCGAAATTCGACTCGATTCACTTGTGCACTGAGCGCATTATACATATGAGGAGCAACTAATCAAAACGCATATTATCCGCTGGTGGAAAGCAATTGAGTTGGAGAAGAAATTGGGTAGTTTTTAATACGCTCCACACGCTCCTGCTTTGAGATTTCTTCAAAACAAATTTAATATAATGTGCTATTCATTTTGAAGAAATCTGAAAGCAGTGGCGTGTGGAGCGTGCGAAATCCATACGATTTCAAAGTCAATTGCTTCCACCAGTGGATAATGTATGTGTTTTGATTACTTGCTCCTCATATATTTGTACACTTTACACATTTCGATTGCTTTTTTACTTCTGTGTTAATTTCTTTCTGCACCAATATATGAATTTATTTTGTAAATAATAAACAATTAAAAGTTTCTGGAGTATTTATATATTTCTGCAATGTAAATTTTTGCCTAGAAAGCATTTTTTCAAACACAATTTGGAGTGTTTATTGCGGCTTAATCATTCGGAATATTCCAGTAGTTTATTAGACAGAATATGCTTAAAATTGGCTTAAGAGCGTATTGGCGAAGTTTCGACGTTTCCTCTCCGAATACCCTGTAGAAACCCTGAAATTTAATCCTTTTTTGCCCTTTTGTGTGGCGCGCGGGCCCCGGAGTCAGTGTCGTTGCTGTCATCGGCGTGTCGCCGTCTCGCGAGCGAACGGGGCCATGCAAGAAACAAGAACCGCACGCCGTTTTGACGCCCCTCTCTGCTCTCTGCCCCTATGACGCCACTCTGCAAGTGGCTCTTACAGGTGCTTTGGTGTGCCGGGCATTATCTTAAGCATAAGACAGATTGGAGGCACAAGTACTACTGTTTTACTATGCCATACGTAGTAAAATCTATAGAAAATCTCTTTGCCTTGATCCACATGAATCGTGGTCACATTCAGGTTTCATTTTTGTTGACATCCCCCTTTTTCGAAAATTGGAAACACAATTTTAAAACTTCAAAATTAGAGACAGTGCTTTTTGTCTCAGACAAAGCCTGTTGTACAAAATTAGCTCTTCAAAAAAGGTCTTGTATAATTTTTTGAAAAGACAAGTAGTTTTGCGTAATTTCTGCTCGAAATTAATGAAATATATACAGATTTTACAGCAACTATTGGCCACGAGAAAAATTGAATAAATGACATGAAAATAGCTCATTTAATTTTAATTATAATTTCCTATGGAAAATGCCAACATTAATTCTATCTTTTTCTTTTTCTCACTTTTACTTTACTTTGTTACAGAATTTGTATTTTGTATGTATTGATGTACGACTACATGAAGTTAACGTATGAGTACATTTAGTTTTTGCACCTAATGTTATACGATTTATAATGAGAAGGATTGGGAAGTATTTAAATACTTGTATTTGAAATACGTATTTTAATTACATTTTGACTTGAAAAATTGAATTTTGCAGTTTTTTGGGCGCAGGCAATTTTGCAGGTCTGAAAAATCAGTCGTTTTAAGGGGAAATTCCATTTGTTTGTGTAACATATTTTTTAAATTATTATTAATTTTTATTTCATACATTACAAATATGTTTTAAATAATTTCTATGTAATTCGAACCGCTTTTGATCTCAATGTTCCCAGGTTGTGATGGTAATCCGCGAATAAGATGTCATCCACCCTAGATTGTGACAGAATCAGCAAAAATTGTTTGTACTGATTGATTTTAGGTGCAAAGTAAATTTAACAATTTTATATAAATGACTATATTTATCCAATAGATTAATCGAGTCGAATCTAATTCGTTAATAAGTGGTGTTCTAGAATTACGCGATTTGAAAACCGTAGAACTGCGCATGTTCGCCGTATTTGAAATTTGTCCACTGCTTTGACGTACTTAATGGGGCAAATTTTTAAGCGGATACATTGGTTATTTTAAGAGCATATTTGCATGCATTTTTTTTCAACGAAATGCTTCTATGAAAATGGGATCTTCAAAATTAGATAATGTACAATTCCTTTAAAATATAATTTTTTCTGTATTTTAGTGACAAAATGAAATGGTTACTGCGAATTGATTGTGGCAGAATTTGTATATTACTTTATATTTCTTATAAATATACTTCTTAGTTGTTGTCTTCTCGTGTAGTATATTAATAGGTTAGAATGCTAGACACACTTCATTAGTTATATAAAATACATATTGATTTATTTAAAATATAGTTTCAAGAGTTTAAAGTATTTCACTATAGCTCTTTAGTATGCTGACGTGCTGTCGTGCGGATGTGGTTTTGTCATTCCGGCATTGTCGGCTACACCACTTCCCGTACACCAATCGAGATGTATGAGGTGTCATTCGACGCGTCTCAGGCTCGTGATGGGTAAACTGATAATTTGTTTCAGGATCCCGCTAAAATATCTAAAGCTATTTCCAAAAACGTCGTTTTTTCGTGTTTTGTCGCTGCGATCTTAGTTATAATGCAAGGAGTCATACCAACGCCTCCTAAATCGGTCTATGTAGGTGGCGTTGATAAAATACCTGAAACCAAATGCATTTTTTTAATATTACGCCATAATTTTCTTTCACGATGTTGGCAACACTAACAGTGACATCTTTAAGTGAACAATTGAATTATCAAGTAAATCGCATTGCAATTTGATTTCTATTTAGAGTGCAAATATTATTGTATGTTTAATATACATTTGCGAATACCTACAAACAGTATTGCCACGGAACGTATTGAACTTGAAGAATATCAAGTGAATAAGGAGAAAACAAAACTGTGAGTAGTGCTAGAGAATGAATGAACGTTATGTTCGACTTCGCACTTTTACGTTCTTACATACGTGGGCAAATACCGTTTTCAAAGGAATGTGACTCACAACTTATTCGAATTAACTAACACCTTATTCACATAAACATACAAAACAGTCACCTTTTAATGTTACATTCGCATACAACGCTATATTCGCGTACAAAACTAATTAATAGAGCAATTGCAGAAGTAGAAGTGAACACACATTGCATTGAGTTTCTGAAGTTTTAATCACTTCAAAAATTAGTGGAGGATATATGGAAATTTGAGGGAAATTCGGCGAAGAAATAAATGTAGATGTAAAAGATGTTGAGACAGAATTTTC